TTTTTCTTTTTTTCATGTACTATTTAAGAACTGTATCGTATAAACATAAATCATTCATTGAATTCTTAAGGCACAATGTAAATATAAACAAACAATTTGAGCGCGCGTCCACTTAACGGAATTTAAAAAAATGATGTCCATTGAACTAACAATAGAAACACCCATCGAATAAATTAGATAATTCGATTATTAATAATACGCGAGAAATCGATTCTTAATAATCTTACCTAATTATAAATTCTAAGAATGAAGGTACTCTTTCTTTGTACTTCTTTTTTGTTATCTCCCATGTTTTCTTTCAATACTTTGATTTCGATAATCTACATTAACGTACGATATACAAAAATAGAAATATTAAAAAAACATCGAAAAATATAAATAAATATTTCCTATCAGCTGTAATCGACCTTTATTGTTGTTGACCTTGTGTCCGAACGACTAGCATCTCGTATTTGTCTAAATATAAACTTTGGCGTTCAAATGAATTAACTGTGGTTACTTTTTATGATTTGCCACAGTATAATTTTTAATCGCAAATTGAGCAATTTGTAATTTGCCTAATTTTTTTTCAAAATAAAGTTCGAGATCATTCTAAAATAATTAATCAATATAAATTTATTCTTCTATATTTTGTGTAGCGCTGAAGAAAAAATAAATTATAAATTAGTTAATGTTAATTCTTATCAAAGGCTTTTGTCAATAGCGGAAAATTCAATTTTAATGTTAGACACAGTTGTTTTACAAACTAATTCGGGTTCAATATTCAAATGAGTGATTTTGTACTTTAAGACAATACCATAAATTACACTCTATTGTTGAGAAATAACAGGTAAACATTTAAGCCCGATAATTCATCAACTTTTAAAACTCATAATAAAAAATTTTCAATTACTTATGGAAGTGGAAATACTTCAGGAATTTCTGCAACTGACACATTTAATATTGCTGGATTTACCATCAAAAATCAAACTTTTGGTCTTTCTGACGTAGTTTCTTCTGACTTCGCTGACAGTCCATTCGACGGTATTCTCGGTTTGGCACTTGATAGTCTAAGCTCATTACATGCTAAAACTCCATTCCAAAATTTAATCGATCACGGTGATGTTAAATCTCCTGTATTCAGTTTCGTACTTGGTAGTCTACAGGATGGCACAAATAGAACAGGCAATGAGCTCATTTTTGGTGGAATTGATCCCAAATATTCCGATAGTATCTCTTATAACCGACTTGATATTGGGAATGGGTTCTGGCAAATTGTCATGGATGATGCTCTTGTGAATGGGAGTTCACTAGGATTAGAAGGAAAGTCGGCCATTATTGATACCGGTACAACTCTTGTTATCGTTCCACCACAAGATGCAGAACTTGTCCATAGTCGTATTCCTGGTGCACAAAATAGTGATGGGACATATTTAATTCCAACTGATACTACGGCTGTAGTGTCTTTAACCTTTGGTGGAGTTACTTATAATATTAAAACAGAACATTTAGTTGTTGATGACGCAGGAAATGGTCTAAGCGTTTCTGGTATCCAAGGTGGAAGTGTAACTGGATCTGATGACGTGTGGTTAGTTGGTGATGTATTCCTTAAAAATGTATGTAGTGTATATGATGTCAAAAACCGTGCCGTAGGTTTTGCGCCATTGTAATAATGGTTAGCGTGAAATTTCACTTACATAATTCACCATTCATTATCAATAATCTTTCATATATATAAATATTTGTTTTTTTTTTAATTATCTATTTATGATTGATTTTTTTATTCATTCAATTTGCAAATCAAATATTATCTTCATTTTTTCTGTCCTACTTTTGATTAAAGAAATGAATTAACTTATAGTAGCAGTCTTCTATCAATTTTTTTTAGTAAATAGCCTAAATCAGATATGTTCCTGACATATTTTGCCCTTTTCTTTATGATTAATATTAGCAAAACTAAGTGTATAATGAATTAAATAAAGGCATATTATGAATTTTTTTAAATACACAAACTTAAGAATTAATTTTAACACATCTAAAAATAAATTTATAAACTTTAAGATTATTTATCATTAATCTTTTTATATTTATAATAAATATCAAACTTAGGCCATACAAACTTAATAAATTGGTTCTCATAACCTGGCCGGGTCAAATTCTGTAAAGTTTAGAAAAAAAATTTTTGACTATATTTACCATTCAGGTGGATTTTTTATAAAAAAAATCTTATACTGTTAGCCCTCTCCAAACAGATCCTGTCAAAACCGATAAGCTGCCATAAAATCGGTTAAAAACTAATCCACCATGTCTGTTCCATAAGCTATATCCGATAGCCTGTTATTTCTGATATCCGATAGTCTATTTAAGTTCCCGATATGATCACATGGTAATTAGCCAATCAAATCAACAGTGCATCTATTTGTCTGCTTTTAGTGATTTAATTGGCTGAGCTTTATTGATTACAATCAATTTAATTTTACAAATAATATTTGTGACCTAATTCGGATAGCACTTCAGAGAATCCTAGGTGCAAATTCAGATTGCGATTGCACCAAAATTAATTAGAACTTTATGTTCTATACTTAAGTATAAAGTGCTGTAAAATTTTTTTTTTATATCTAAATTTAATTGTATATTTTCTAAACGCATAGTCTATGGAAGACCTATCTAAATGCATAGACTTGTTTGGCACCAACTAATATGACACTTACAGATTTTACCTCCTTAAATGCAATACCTCTCTAAATGCAAGATTTGTTGGTCGCCCAGGCCATGCATTTAGAGAGGTCTGACTGTATTGCAATTTTTGTAATTATATATTAGAATCATACTCAAACACTTCTCTCAATAGCTTCAATAAAAATCTGATTGGCCAGTTTGATCAGACAAACTACTTAGATTCTTTATTGAGAGAGGTGCTTAAGAATGTCCTAAGTTTGACATCGTTAACTGGGATTTATTTTTTTGCTATCTGATTCTACACTTTGATTGGCTGATTTATTTCAGCTCATCATTAGGGATGTTATTGGCTTCACTTGAAGCCAAGCAGAAGTTAAGCCAAGCTAATAGTTTAAGCTATAGCTTGAGCTATAGTTTAAAAATTTCTTAAAGTTATAAAAAAATAACTATTGATTCTGGCTTTAATTATAGCTAACAGCTTAAACCATGGCTTAGTTATAGGCTAAGCTAAGCTATCCAAGCCAACAACATCCCTACACATCATATGATATAGGCCGTATCATCACTTCTGATACATCACATTTTATAAAATAAATTAAAAAGTTTATTAATAATATTAAATCT